TGTCCACCCCCGATACGTAGAGGAAGACACGTGTCTTTCCGGACGTCTGCGAGTAGGCACGCCATCGCGAGCAGTGGGACGCGCCCGCGGTGAGCTTCCCGGAGCCCCCGCCGGGCCCCATGGACTGGCAGATAAGGCTCCTCCTCCTCCCTCTTCCTCCCTCCTCCTCTCTCCTCCTCTCCTCCTTCTCTCCTCTCCTCCTCCTCCTCCTTCCTCCCTCTCCTCCTCCTCTTTCCTCTCCTCCTCCTCTCCTCCTCCTCTCTCTCCTCCCTCCTCCTGCTCCTCCTCTCTCCTCCTCCCTCCTCCTCCCTCTCCTCCTCCTCCTCCTCCTCCTCCTCCTCTTCCTCCTCCTGCTCCTCCTCCTCGTCCGCCTCCTCCTCCTCCTCCTCCTCCTCCTCCTCCTCCTCCTCCTCCTCCTCTCCTTCTCCCGGAGGGGGCCCCGGGCCCCGGTCCAGGGAGGTGGGCCGAGACCTCCGGGGGTCGGGGGATCCTGGGCGATTCCCGGGTGTGCCGCGGGACTGGGCCCGCATCGGCTCGCGGAGTCGCATCGGGTCGGCTCGGGGAGTCAGATCGCGGAGTCGGATCGGGTCGGAGGAGGTACTGGGCGACGCCTGTGGGTGCAGCAAGCAGGCACGATGGCCAATCTCGCGAGAAGAAATCTGGGGGCGCGCTCGACGTCGGTCTTTGAGCTTCCCGAGGTGCCCAAGTGTCTGCGTGGGTCCCAAGGGCCGTCGGGTGATGAGACGTCTCCGTAGGGCACCTGAAGGCCAACTTGCATCTTGTTGGATGTGCCCACTTCGCTGGAGTGGCCGTCGGAGATCTCGCGCCGCAGGGGGAGGGGGGCGCGTGGAGGGGAGGGGATCGGGGAGGGCGTGGAAGGGATCGGGGGTCGAGGGTCGGGGAGGAGAACAGCGACAGCGGAGATCTCCAACGACCCCTGCCCATGGGATGCGCCGCCGGGCCCAGACAATCCTGGCCGCTCCCTGAGTGTCCCGCCCTGCCACCCCTGCATGCAGCCATCGTGCCCACCATTAGGTCGGGCATGCCCTCCTATACAGGGGACAGGCCCGACCTTAAGCCTACCACAGAAGGAAGGCCGATGAAGGAGCGAGGAGGCTCGCCTGGCCACGGCGAGACTCGGCTTCGGATAGGCTGGTCCCCCGACCCAGATTAAGGAGCGGCCCGAGAACCAAAGCCCCTCTCGAGCCCTAGGCAGCCCTCTCGAACCCTGGGCAGTCCTTACCTCAGCGTCGTGGTTTTGCCGCGGCTGCCAGGCCCAACGCATCCCTGCCTGCATGTGACTGTCCCTGGTGCAGCAGCCGCCGCGGTGCCGCCGGTTGGGTCGGCCGCGCCACGCGCTCGGGGCGTGACCTGCCCTCTTAGCGGCCTCGCTCCCCCCCCGCCCGCCCCCTTTTGCGGCCGTTTCCTCTGCCCTGTCCCCTCCGCCTGCATGGTGGCACAGTTCGCTACGGCGGCACCCCCGTTCAGTTGGCTCTCCGCCAGCGCAGTGACCCTGCCTAGCCGCCGACGCAGAAAGTATGTGATTGTCCCCGAGTGTCCCGCCTCGAGCTGCGGGGGCCGTTGTCTTCCTCGGCGCGGGCGCGGGCGAGCGTTGCTCTTCTGCCCCTCCCTCGCGGCCAGAATCCGCTCGACCTCATTCGGCGGAGCTCGGGAGTCCGCCACGAGAGACAGGCGAACGTGCGGAAGGATGTGGGCGATCGAGGGCAGTCGGAGGAAGAGCGGCGGCAGCAGCAGAAGACAAGGCCAGCGAGGGCATCCTCTCCAGATATCAGGCCGATTCATCTGCTCGACGCGAGTCCCTCCACGCTGGCTCGAGATCGCTTCGGGCAAGCTTCAGGGACGCCCCTGCAAGGCGACCCAAAAGATCCCTAAAACTGCCCGAGGATCTCCCAAGACGGCCCAAGAACGCTCGCTGTATTCTGGCCCCCAAGACCCGCCAAATCGTCCCCTAGATGGCTCAACCGAACCTTTTCGGTAGTACCTTTCGTGAAATCGTAAAGCGCACTATTGGGTATCCGAACTTCCAACATTAAAAATCCCCGCATGGGCCCGTGCTGGATCCGCCTTCGGGGTGTTCTTCGGCAGTCTCGGAGGCCCTTGAGACTGGCCCGATAAGCGGAACAGAAATCGATGCATGATTGAACCATTCTCGGCCTTTCGGTCTCCAGAGCTTCCAAACCGACCCATGAGGCCCCAAAGATCGTCCCAAAGCGGTCCCTAATCTAGGGGAACCAACAATGACATAAACATAAAAACTCCGAGGTCCGCGTTGCCTTCTCGGATCGGCGCTGAACCCCCCTCCCTGGCGCGCGGAGCGCGCCAGGGGCGGCGCCGGAGGCGCCGCCAGGGGGCCCCAGCGCCGATCCGAGAAATCCGCGCGGACCTCCGAGTTTTTATGTTTATGTCATTGTCTGGTCCCCTACATGAGGCCCCAAGGATCGTCCCAAAGCGGTCCCCAATCGTGCTAATGAGTCCCCGAACATGGACCCCCAAAGGCCCCCCAGAACGTGCCGCCGCCGCGCCACGGAAAGCAACCTAAGAAGGCCCCAAGACCCAAAGAGGCTCCAAGAAGGCCCCAAATATGGGGCTCTCAAGACCCAAGAAGGCTCCAAGAGGCTTTCAGAAGGCCTCAAGACCCAAAGAAGGGGCTCTCAAAAAAGGGTTCCCGACAGGCCACCAGGAGGGCCAAGAGCCCAAGAGACCTCCGAGCGGCCTCTTGGCCTCATGAGCCCTCTGTCGTGCCTCGTGACCCAGGCACGGTTGCGGGATGGGTCGGAGGCCACATCTCTCTCTCTCTCTCTCGCTCTGTATATGTATACATCTTAATGTGTATCTATAATGTATCATGTATGTCCAGAGCATGCGTGCATACATATGCGTCTCAGCATACATATCCCAATCGTGAACAACACGCACGGCACTTACGACACAAATCGAACGGCACCTGGGGCGCCGCACGACCACCGACAGGACCACGGCCGCTGGGGACAACCGCATGGGGCAACCGCAAGGGACAGCCGCGTGCTAGGGGCGCGTATACGCGGTTGAGGCCCAGAGGGGGGCGAGGAAAGTCGCTTTCGAGGGGCCCTGGAGGAGAGGGGAATCAGCCTCAAGCCTGGTTAGCTCCCTGACCTCACCATGGTTCGCCTCGCACGCGCGCGCGACACTAACCGAGGTCGATTTCCCGATGACGGGCTCTCCGTTGCACGTCAGTGTCTTTCAAACTTTCGAACACATTGGATTATCAAGTTCGCCCTGCACTAAAGATGGATGGCAACGACGTCGAAGACGGCGATGATACGTTTGGCTGACCGCGAGCAGGCAGAGCTTTCAGGTCCGCCCTGCTCGGCGCTGCCGTCTTCGTGCACTTGTGGCGCAAAGATGGTCGCTGCGCTGAGTTGGCAGCTCCACGTGCACGCAGCGGAAGGACCTACGTACTGTGCTTGCACCCCGCCGCCACAAGATCATCGGGAGAAGGAGATGCCGAAACACAGGGTATCACAGCAACAACCACAACAACAACAAAAGCAGCAACAACAACACCAACAACACCAACACAAACACCACCATCACCAACAACAGCCAACACAGCCACAACAACAACAGCAACAACAACAATAACACCAACACCAACAATGATGACACCTGGACTGGGGGGCCATCCACCTCCAGTGCTGCGGGGCCCCTGTCCACGTGTGGTCTAATAGGTGAACACCCGGACTGGGGCCCCATACCCCCCCCCCCGCAGCGCAACGCAAAACAACCGTTTAGCAGCGTTTTGTGTCTGTTCGAAGGACTCCTGCCAGAAATCGGTGGAACACTTTTAGAAGCCTCCATGATCCTACAAGTTCTAACGGACCTTCTACGGAGAGACTGTCCAACTCGACTTGGATTCTTTGGGAGCTCAATCCAGATCTACCAGGATTCGTTTAGAGCTGAATGTAGCTCTATTAGGACCCTAGTAGAGCTGAATCCAGTCTACTCAGATTCTATGAGAGCTGCATCCAGCTCTAGTGAGATTCTATGGGGGCTGGATCCAGCTCTACTCAGATTCTATGAGACCTGGATCCAGTTCTACCAAGATTGTATGAGAGATGGATCCAGCTCTACTCGGCTACTGTGACAGCTGGATCCAGCTCTATTAGGAGTATATGAGAAGCGCTGGATCCCGCTCTAGTAGGATTCTATGAGAGTTAAACCCGGCTCTACCAGGATTATAAGGAAGTTGGGTCCAGCTTTACTAGGATTCCATCAGAGCTGGATCCAGCTTCCAGGGTAGGACTGGGTCGAGCTCTAATGTGATTATAATATGGCCGCATCCAGAGCGAATCGGATCTTGTCAGGGCAGGATCCAGATCTAATCGGATCCTGTCAGGGCTGGATCCAGTTCTGAAAAGATCCTGTCAGGGCTGGATCCAGCCCTCATGAGATTCTCTTAGGGCTGGGTCCAGCTCTACTAAGATTATATTGGAGCTGGACCTATGCAAGTTCATGTTCATGTAGTCCCCCGCCCGACAGGTTGGGCTTGCTAGACTCAAAGGAACATGCTCCCGACCCGCCTCGCACACCCTGCGCACCGTGGCCGCCAGGCCCCAGAGTGCCCCGCGTTCTCTGTGAATCCGGCCTCGCGTCTTCGACGAATGACGACCGCATGCCGCCGCTGCCGCCCGGCCTGCGGGGGGCCCGCTGCTCTCTGGTGGCCGATCAAATGAGATTTGAGCAGAGGGGGTCGGAGGATCGCGCCGCATCGCCGATGCGTCGGCGATGCATTGGCGACGCAGGCGACGCAACGGCGCCGCCAGCGCGGAGAAAATCTGGCCCCACATCGAGCAGCATCGCCGATGCATCAGCGTTGCGACGCGATCCTCCGACACCATTTGCGCGGACCCCATGTGGGAGGCCCGGACCGAAGCAGCGCACTCGCCTGCCTTGGGGCGAGAGGGGGCGGGGACAAAGCGAGGCGCATCCCCCGCCTGCGGTCACCAGGTGCGGGCCCCTCCCGCGGCCGCCGCGAACTGCTGGTGGCCCGAGGCGGCACGTCCTGTGGCAAGTCCGGCGGCCGCGCGCCCCCTCCCGTGGGCAGCGGCCAGGGTCGTCCCGTAACCCTTGAAGTCGACGGCCGCGCCGATCGCAAGATCCCTTTCGGCACAGACCTCAGAGGACAAAACAGGGCACAAACATAAACTGTCGGAGGTCCGCGCGGGTTCCTTGGATCCGTGCTGGACCCCCCTCCCTGGCGCGCGGAGCGCGCCGTTGGCGGTGCCAGAGGCGTCGCCAGTGGTTCCAGCGCCGATCCAACAAAACCGCGCGGATCTCCGAAAGTCTGCGTTTTCTTCTAGAGGCCGAATAGATGGGGTCGGAGGATCTCGTCGCATCGCCGATGCATCGGCGATGCGCTGACTGCGTCGGCGATGCATCGGCGACGTCGGCGTGGAGAGAGTCAGGCCCCACACCGAGCCGCGTCGCCGATGCATCGCCGATGCATCGGCGATGCGGCGCGATCCTCCGACCCCATCTGCTCCGACCCCACCCTCGCCATCGCCGGGACCTCCATTCCCTGTTCTTGGTCGGTTTCGTGCGTGGCTCTCTCCGCCAGATGATCCAGGATGCTCCTCGATGGTCCTCGCCGAGGGAAACATTGAAGGGGCCCTGGGACACACAAATAAATACACACAAATAACAGGATTCACAATATTTTCCCATAGTTTCTAGGTCTTCGTCTCCCCCCCCCAAGACCGCTCAAAGACGGCCCAAGAGCGCTCCAAGAAGGCCCGAGAAACCCTCAAGAACTCTTTTTCGGAGCCCAGGAGGCTCCAAATCGGTCCAAGAGGGGCCCGAGAAGCCGTCCAGACGGTCCAAGAGAGCCGGGAGACGCCGAAATATCACTCCCAAACGCCTACGATGGCCTCAAGACGGCCCAACAGGCCTTCAAGACGCCACAAGAGGTCCCTAAGAGGTCCTTAAGCGGCGTCCCAAGAGGGCTCCCACTAGCAAAAATCGTCCCATTCCCTTAGGAAAACGTGCATGTTTTACATATCCGCCCTTTCGTCTTTCACACCTTTCAAGGCGGTCCAAGAGGCCTCCAAGATCACCCCAAGACGGCCCGAGAGACCCTCTAGACCGCTCAAAGACGGCCCAAGAGCGCTCCAAGAAGGCCCAAGAAACCCTCAAGAACTCTTTTTCGGAGCCCAGGAGGGCTCCAAATGGGTCCAAGAGGGGCCCGAAAAGCCCTCCAGACGGTCCAAGAGAGCCGGGAGACGCCGAAATATCACTCCCAAACGCCTACGATGGCCTCAAGACGGCCCAACAGGCCTTCAAGACGCCACAAGAGGTCCCTAAGCGGCGTCCCAAGAGGGCTCCCACACGCAAGAATCGTCTCATTCCCTTAGGAAAGCGTGCATGTTTAACATATCCGCCCTTCGTCTTTCACACCTTTCAAGGCGGTCCAAGAGGCCTCCAAGATCACCCCAAGACGGCCCGAGACCCTCAAGACCGCTCAAAGACGGCCCAACAGCGCTCCAAGAAGGCCCAAGAAACCCTCAAGACGGTCCAAGAGGCCCCAAGACGGCCCGTGATTGAGGTCCACAGGGGCAACCTGAACGGAAATTTTGAGCCTCCCGCCCAAACACGCCCCCGAAATGCCCCTACAAGCCCCCAAGTAGCCCCACGAAGCCCCCAAGAGAGCCCCAAGAGGCCCCCAACAGGCCGCAAGAAAGCCCCAACAGGCCCCCAAGAGACCCCCAGGAAGCTCCCAGGAGGCCCCCAAGAGGCCAGGCAGACCCCCCCAAGAGACCACCAAGAGGGCCCACCCAGAGCCATCCACGAGGCCTCCCAAAGTTCCCAAGAAGCTCCCACGAAGCTTCCAAAGGCCCCCAAGACCCCCCAAGACCCCGCGATGGCACAATACGGGCCGGCGGAATGAACGAAGCGATTCAATAGTTTCTAGGTCTTCGTCTCCCCCCCCCCACTTCCCATATTTTCCCATATCTTCCTGGGGATCGGCAATTCATTGTGTCTGTGTTTTTTCCCCTCCTGAAGCATGCACACGTCCGGGCGACGCCAAGCACCCGCGAGGCCCAGGTCTTCTCCTCGCCATCGCTCGGACGTCCATTCCCTGTGTTTTTTGTCGGTTCCGTGCGTGGCTTCTTCGCCAGATGATCAAGGATGCTCCTCGATAGTCCTCGCCGAAAAAAACATGCACACGTCCGAGCGACGCCAGGCATCCGCGAGGCCCAGGTCTTCTCCCCCGAGGGCCTCCGCTCGTCCCTCCGGGCCCGCCCGCGCGGCCGCGCGGCGCTTCCCCGAGCGCGCGCCGACGCACGAGGCCGCCGACCACGCGAGGCCGAGTAGCACGAAGAGGGTGAGGGTGACCTCTCGGGGGCGCGCACGCGGGGATCAGCGATCCGATGGATTGGCCATCCGATTATTTTTCGGAAACGAATTCAGTGCTTCGCCTTGGCCAGCCTCGCGGTACAGATAAGTGATTCGCCTTGCCGTTTTGGTGGCTGTTTCAATGGGGGTGCAGTTGTTTGGTGCCCACATGACTGTTGCACCCGTATAATCCTGAATTCATGGATTGGCGATCCGATGGATAGGGAACGGAGGGACTGTTCGGGAGCGGCAAAGGAGGGGGGCGTCCAAGATGGGGGGGGTGCAAATCATGACCGGCGGCACGTGGCGCGGCCCGGCGGGGGGGCCAGGGACGTAGTGGAATGAGAAGAGGCGCCATGAAATTTGGGGAGATTTCATGGCCCACTCCATGATATCCACCCCCCCACTTTCGCCGCCCCCGAGGGTAGGACGAGAAGAATCTATTGACACAACGTGCTATTGATACGTTCCGGAGATTCCGGGATTTCTAAAAACCTTCGCGCGGGGTACACTTTGCATCGAGTATTGTGTACTCTGGCTGGCGCCGCTGGTCGGCCACCCATTCTCCATCGAGTGGTCGCCCGTAAGGGGCTATTTGGCAGTTGCTGACCCCCCTTCTCGTTGCCGAGCGCGGGGGGGACGGCGGCGCACCGTCCCATCGCCCGCCGCCGCGCACCGCGCGCCTCGGCGGATTCCCAAAGACCTGGCAAGGCAAATCATGCGCGACTCTGGAAAAGTCCCAGGGGGTAAACATGAACAAATCCGGGAACGTTTTTGAACATGTCCGGCGTACTTTTTTGAAAAATGCCAGAATCGTTTTTGAAAATTTCTGGGGTCGGTTTTGAAAAATTCCAAAAATCCATTTTGAAAAATTCCGGATTTCAGAATTCTTCAAATGTCCTGCGCGGCGGGCGCAGTTTTGAGGGGTGGAATTTCCACCCCTCAAAACTGTTTTTTGAAAATTTCCGGGCTCCTTTCTGAAAAATTCCAGAACCGCTTGCGCAAAAAAACGGAAGAGTTTTCTGACACATTCTGCAATCCAGAAATAATGTCCGGGCGGTCTGACGGGCGAGGCCGGCTGATTCACGCGCCGCGCCGCGCGCGATTGGGCGCAGCGCGCGCCGCGCGTTGCGCCCGCGAACAGCACTCGAAGGGGCTACCTCGAAAACAGCGCCATGGCAGCTGCGACTCCTGGACTCCCCAAGAGCAACACAGCATGCAGCTTGGAATCTTCGAGGGCGCTCCGATGCGCGAAAAATGCACCGCGAACATCGCGAAAAGAACCTGCGCGACGGAATGCGCTCGACCATTCGTCCCTGGAGCCCGCGCGGAAGAACAGGAAAACCTGGAAATCTGGAAAACTATCAATATCAATACTTCATGCTCCTCTGAGGTAGGGAACGGAGGGACTGTTCCAGCCACGGCGGCCCTCGGCCACGAGCAGTCCCTGGCCCAGATCCGGGGCGCGGCCCCCACCCCAGAGAGCCCCTCCTGGGCCCAGAGGGGTCCTCGGCCCAACGTCTTTTGCCCTTCGGGTCGGGGGCGCGCAGACATGGACTAGCGATACACGGACTTGGCGCGCGGTCGCCGAATCCGCGGGTCGGGGGAGGTGCCCTCCCCAGAGTGCGCCTCCGGAGGTGACCTGGGAGGTCAGCCCCGGGATCGTCCCAGACAATGTGTATCGTGCTCGTTTTGCGTTCGTTTTCCCTGGTCGTGGTCTGCAGCCAGCCTTCGCTGCAAAGCGGAATCGAAACGAAAACGGCCCACAGGATCGCCAAAACACCTCTTAGGTCGACACCTGGGGCAGCCGGCACGACGAGGGGCAACGTTGGTGTTAGGTCGGGCATGTCCCCCTACAGGCGGATTTTGGACGACAAATAATTTAAGCAAATACTCACAACTAGTCATAGAGAGTGAAAAATTGTCCCCGAACTATTTTTTGACCAATTTTGAAAATTTTCCCTGTAGAGGGACACGCCCGACTCAACGTTAGTGGGGGATCAGGGGGGGGAATAGGCGGCGCGCCCGGGGGGAAAGTGAGAAGGAGCGGGCCTTCTCAGACAGCTCGGAAATCCGCCCCCCTGGACCTCTGAGAAGCTTCCTGAGCCTTCCCCGAGGACACCAAGAGAGAAGCCTCCCAGCGGGCGCGAGGGCTCCTGAGAAGCCTTCTGAGAAGGCCTGCTCCTCTAGGGGGGCAAAAAGTTACATAAATATAAAAACTCGGAGGTCCGCGCGGATTTCTCGGATCGGCGCTGGGGCCCCCCGGCGGCGCCTCCGGCGCCGCCCGAACAAGACACCCTTCGCAAGAAACCCAACCCTGAGACCCCGGGACGTTCGCCGACTTCTGGTGCGGGAGCGCCCACGCTGTCCGCAGGAATACCCGCGAAGCCCGAGAAACCCAGGGCACCCTGGAGGCGAGCGGGGTGTCTCTCGGCATGGGCCTCCACGACACGTCGCCGATAGAGCGGCGATGGGCCCCCGACAGCGGATCCGAGCGCTCCTGGGCGGGGCGGACCACCCTTCCGGGGATGGACAGACCACCCTTTAGTAAAACGTAGTTTAGTGAAAACGACCTGAGGCCCAAACCTGGCGGGCGCACGCCTGGAAAATAACGGCCACGGCGCCCTCTCGAGAACCGAAAACGGACAATCCACTAATCGACATGTCACTGTTGGGGATTCTGTCCACACCCGACCCTTGGCGACGATATCGGTGCTCCGGGGTCGATGCACCCCTCTTGGCGGTGCGCAGAGGGGGGCCTTGCCGTTGCTCGGATGTCCATCTCCCGTGCATTTTTCCCGGTCTCGTGCGTGTCTTCTCTGCTCGATGGTCCAGGAGGGTCCTCGATGGTTTTCGCCGAGAAAAAATGCACACGTCCGAGCGATGCCAAGGGGTAGGGGGAGGGGGGAACGCTTCTGAGAAGGAGGCTGCTTCTTGGAGGGCGCCCTCTAAGAGGCACTCGAAGGGGCACAGACACTGCTTCTGCCCATGCCCTACTAGCGTCTCGATTGGGCCCTTGCAATGCAAACAAAACATGCATAATCTCTCCCTGAACGGGGGGCGCGGCTGCCGCTGCGATGTTGGATAGTGCTTTCTTAATTGAGAAAACCCCTTGGGCGGCCATGCAAACATCAGACCAACGTCCTTCCCAAGCAATTGTTTCCATACCTTCATGCTGAAGCCCTCAAGAACAGAAGCCCACGCACTGTGTCAACGAAAGGTTGGTCAACTTTTGATCCCAAGCCAGTTGCTTTTCAAGAGCCTCTCAGTCGACTCTCAAAGAGCTTCTCGTGAGCCTCTTTGGAGCCTCTGTCAAGTTCCTCTCTCGGGACCATCTTATGAACCGCTCAGAACCTTCTCAGGAGCCTCTCAGGAGACCCTCAAAGCTCCTCAACACCCTCTCAACATCTTGTTGTCAGGGTGCTTAGATGGAGTCGTATTTTTCGATGCTGTGCGCTTTCCATGATGTTTTGTCGAAGATGGTTGTTTCGGCTCTTCGGTCTCGAAGATTTTGCGCACTGGTTCCAATTACGCTTTCCACGCTCTTCAGGTCATCAAAGGTGTATGTTGTCACGCGTTCCATGCTGTTTCAGCCATCGAGAGCCGAAGCGGGTCCACTGACAGCCCGATAGCACCCAAAGGGCTCGTAGTCGGCCCAGGACGGCCCCAAAAAGGCCAAGCTGGCCCACGAGGACCTCCAATGGAACCAAAGACAGCCCGTATAGACGGCCTAAGAAGGCCCCAGTACGGCCAAGAAGGCCCCTAACAAGACTCCCAGACGACCAAGGGACCCCCAAGACGGCCCAGTAGGGCCCTGAGAGACAGCCTGATAGGGACCCAAGGGACCCCCAAACTGCCCCACAGAAACCCAAGACAGCCCAAAGACGGCCAAAGTAGTCCCCGTTGGAGCCTATCAACAAGCGGCTCCGAGAGGTGTCACTTGCGACGGTCATCTGGACGGTGCTCGAAGTGTCCCCACACAGAGCGCGTCGCTGGCACGGTGGCGGACCCGCCAGAAGTGGGGACGGATGAAATGGGGACGATGCCCAAAAACAAATTTCATCCTAGACCAGCACCTGTCGCTGTTTGGGCAAGCGGTGCTTGCCTCGAATGGACAACGTCCGTGGCGGCACTGACAGCGAATCATGTTCAATAGGTCGACAGAAACTAATGTCGGTCTTCGCCAATAGTCGCGTTAAGTCTTTAGAAACCTTCAATAGGGGGTCTCTAATTATTGTTCTGGTGGCCAAGTTGAAGGACTGGGGCCCCACCGATAGGAGGTAACTAACTACGACTACGATTGCGACGACTACGACGACTACAACTACGGATGCCTCGAGGAGGTTTTAGGACCAGTCCTATCACCGCCGAGTAATAAGGGGTGGGATCAAAACTACAGACCTCCTGAGGTGGTTTCTAGAAGAAGAAAAAAGGCATGCATGTGAACTTTCGGAGGTCGAGCGAGGAGGAGGAGGACGAGGAGGAGGACGAGGATGGGGGTCATGGGGAGCAGGAGGAGGAGCGCCTCTGGCGCCACCCTTGGCGCGCCACGGAGAGGGGGGGTGCAGCGCCAGTCCGAGAAGTCTTGCGCACTGGCCTTTGCACTCCCCGAGACGAGGCCAGGAAGAGGATACTCCGAGTTTTCTTACTATCAGCGGTGGACAAACCTCCCTTTAATAAACCTCCCTTTAGTGAAAACGGCCTGGGACCGAAACTGGCGGACCTGGACCCGCAAAAATGACGGCCGCGACGCCCCCTCGCGAACCGAAAGCGGTCATACTAAGCGTCGGGGGGGGGGCGTCTCCCCCCCGCCGACAGCCCCACATGGACCCCCGTCGCGGGCAGCCACCGCGCGCCGACCCCCGTCGCGGCGCTGCGACGCGGCGAGGCTGACCCCCCGTCGGGGGGTGCTCCCCCACGCTCATTTTTCGGGGATCTCCGGACCCGGGTCAATCCAGACCCGGGCCAGTCGGGCATTGCAAGATCCTGCAGGATCCTGCAACATCCTGCGCCCAAGCCCGGGTCGATGCGGAAGATCCTGCAAGATCCTGCAGGGTCCTGCTCCCAAACCCGGGTCGATGCGACCCTGGCCCTGCAGGATCCTGCAAGATCGGGCGCTCTGGCCGACCCCCGTTTGCATCGACCCCCGTCTCAAGGCTCCCGAATGTTGAGCAGGGGCCGACCGTCCCGACACGTTCGTAGAACCCAAACCTGTTCCGAGAACAGAAACGATGTTCTTAGAGCACAACATCCGATGTGTTAAAGCAAGACGGCCCCAGCCAAACATGTTCTAAGAGCATTACGTGCAAACCACTAAAGCTCTGAGAGCCAGCGGCTCTGACAGATGTCTCGGGCGCCGCGGCCTGCTCAGAGCGTTCGGGGACGCTCTGAGAGCGATCCGGAACGCTGGGACGGATTTACCCTCGTCCTAGCCCCGTCCGACTCCCCCCTTCCTGGCGCGCGGAGCGCGCCAGGGGCGGCGCCAGAGGCGCCGCCAGGGACGTCCGACGACGTTCTGCGCCGATCCAAAGAATCCACTCGGACCTCCGAAAAGTAGTAATTATGCATGCCTATGTTTCTTCGTCTAGAAATGAAAAGGCGAAGACCGACATGAGCTTCTGTCGACTGACCTTGCACTCCCCCCTCCCTGGCGCGCTTCGCGCGCCAGGGCGGGCACCAGGGGTGGTGGCGATCCAAGAGATCCGCGCGGACCTCCGAAAGTTTATGCGTAGATGCAGTTATGTCTCCTCCGAACTTCGGACCTCACGAGACGCCGGTTGTGCCCCCCGCCCCAGGCACGACCAGCAAGAAGACGGAGTGCGGAAGGTCGGCCGCCACCCGGTGCTTCTGCGAGTAGACAGGCCCCGCGCCCGTGCGAACGATGTCCACCAGCCACCAGAAGCCACACCCTCCGAGGGTGAGCAGCTTGGCGAGCCCGATGAGCGGCAGCCCGAGGTAGAAGTAGTCGAGACCCAACATGCCACCGAACAGCGAGAGGAGGAACACTTTGGTCTGGCTCTTCCGCTGTATCGCGCACTCTGGCCCTGCCCAATCGCGGCTGCAGGTGCAGAACGACAACGCGGTCGTGTCCCTCGCCATGGGGTTCCAGGTCTTGCAATACCCATGTCCAGAGCACTGCAGCGAGGCATCTACGGTCTCATCGGCGCACGAATTGAGGACGGCCGACGAAGCATCATGCCCCGGCGGTATGTACTCGTACTGCCGGAGGTAGTTATCCTTCTTGCGCCAATTCGCCACCTCGTGCTGCGGAACCTCCACCTCTAGAGGCTTCCTAGATGGGTTCCGAGTAGATGGGTCGGAAGATGGCGCCGCATCGCCGATACATCGGCGATGCATCGGCGCCGCATTCGGGACGCACCGGCGATGCACCGGCGATGCATCGTCGACGTCGGCGATGCATCGGCGACGTCGATGTGAAGCACATCGGGCCCCACATCGAGCCGCATCGGCGACGCATCGGCGATGTGGCGCGATCTTCCGACCCCATCTACTCGGACCCCATCCCCAGACAAGCGACGTCTTGATTTTTTCAGGACGGCATCCCCGGAAGTCCCGACCCCTTCCCCAGGACCGGCTCTTCATCCCGAGCCGTTTCTGGACGCTCCCGAGGCCCGGCGAGGGCCCCTCGGGGCCGCAAACGGCCATTCAAAACCTCCGCCACGAGTCTTTTACGACGCGAGCATCGCGTCTGGGTTTAAGTTGGGCGTGTCCCCCTACAGGGGGATTTTCGACGAAAAATTCGCCGGCCCAACGGGCCAGAGGCGTGCTAAGATCTCCGGTAACTGGTTAACAATTTTCTAGTTCGCGCGCGCGGGGCGGCCCCTGGGGGTCCCCGGACGAAAAGTACCCCGACCAGGTCCCGGCCGGGTCCCCCCGAGCGCTCCATGAGCGCACCAACAGGGCTCCGAGACGTCCCCGAGAGCCCCAAGAAAGGCCAAGAGGCCCCCAAGAGGCCCCCAAGATGGTACACGAGGGGTCCGACATGCCACAAGATCGCTCCAAGACGCCCAAGATAGCCCCCAGACGCCCCAAGAGGCCTCCAAGAGCACTCCCAATAGGGCCCCCGGAGGCAAAAATCATTGTTTTTCCATAGGTTTTTGAGAGATTTTGGAGCTTCCACCTTTTCGGCTTCCCGACGCCCCAAGACGGCCCAAGAGGCCCCCAAGATCGCCCCAAGAGGGCCCAAGAGGCACCCAAGAGGGCCCCAAGATGGCCCAAGAGGGCTCGAAGACGGCCCAAGAAGCCTCCAAAACGGTCCAAGAGGGCCCCAAGAACGCCCCCAAAGGGGCCCCAGAGAGGGAACACGAAACAACATTTCGAGCCCTCGGCCCTAAGAAGCCCCTAGGCCCCGAGGCCCCTAAGAGGCCCCAAGAGGCCCCCACGGGGCCCTCAGGAGGCCCCCAAGAGTCCCCCAAGCGGCCCCAGGAGGCCCCCCAAATGCCCCCCCGAGCGCCCCAGGAGTCCCCCAAGCGGCCCCAGGAACCCCCAAAGCGCCGCATTGACACCAGGCCCTCGGGCAAACGGCAGACATGAGACTGTATGGGCCGGCGGAATGAGCGAAGCGATTAAATAAAAAAGACCTCAAAAATAATAGAAAAATGATCCCAAAATAGTCCGGGGACCATTTTTGGAGTATGTTTGACCTTTTTGAGGTATTTTGGGGTTTCTTTTTTTATTCTTCGTCCAAAACCCGCCTGTAGGGGGACACGCCCGACATAACGCGAGCATCGCGTCTTCGGGAGCGGCCAAGAGAGGGGTGTCCAAGAGGGGGGTGCAAATCATGACCGGCGGCATGTGCGCGGCCCAGCGGGGGGCCAGGGACGTAATGAAATGAGAAGAGGCGCCATGCAATCTGGGGAAAGATCATGACCCCCGCCATGATATCCCCCCCCCCCTTGTCATCCCCCCCTCTTTTCCGCCCCCGATGTTCAGGGGGACGTAAGACCCGGGTACAGGGGACTCGGAAATCCCCGACGAGGTCGTCAACAAAAATGACGAGGCCGAGCCTGCATTTCGACGAGGCCTCCCGCGGCAGACATCCCACGACACTCCTCCTCGTCAAAACCCGAGGCGCGGCCGTCAAAAAACGAGGACGAACCCGAGTCCTGGCAAACCCGGGTCTTACGCTCCCCCGATTCGAGCTGGGTCGATCTGCGAGGGCCCCGGCGGGGAGGAGGAGGAGGAGGAGGAGGAGGAGGAGGAGGAGGAGGAGGAGGAGGAGGAGGAGGAGGAGGGGGAGGAGGAGGAGGAGGAGGAGGAGGAGGAGGAGGTCTTACGCTCCCCCGAGTGATGTCTGGGTCTGGGAGGCCTCGGGCCTCGCAGCCCTGCAGGCACGCCGCGCAGAGCACGGCGGCCGCGGCCGCCGCCACGCGCCCTCGGCCCGGGAGGCGGGCGCCCCCTGCGCCGGCGGCTGCGCGCGGGGGGGGGCGCACGTCGGCGCCGCCCCGCGCCGGCGCGCGGAGCACCTGCAGGCCTGGGCGCCGGCGTCAGGTCGGGCCTGCCCCCCTACAGGGGGATGTTGGGGGAAAAATGAGGAGCACCCCAGAAATATATGCTCCCCAAGCGCTCGAGAATGGTCCGAAAATGGTCCCCGTACCATTTCTAGACTGTTTCTGAATATTCCTCCTGTAGGGGGACAGGCCCGCCTTGACGCTGGCGAGGGCCGGGGGAGGGATCGCACTTTTGATGGGTGGATCTCTCAAGCTCTCCAGCGCCTCTGGCGGTGTGCGTTGCGAGCAGGGACGCAGCAAGGCCACAGAAAAGCGCGGCGTTGACAGTACAGCTCCGCACACGTGACAAATGTGAACGAGCAGGAACACAGCAGCAAAGCCCCAGGAGAGCGAGGCTTTGGGGGAGGGGGACTGGCTCGGGAGGGGGAACATCGACCTGGAACCAGGGATACAGTCGGACCTGGGCCAGAAGGGCATCCTCCAAGAACATGAGGCCCTGCGCTGGCCAAAACACACAGAGCATCCAAGGGTGCTCTCCCGAGGATGCATAAGAACACCCGACAAACGCGAAGAACACAAGGGTCCCCTCCCCGAACCGACCTCGATCTTATACCTTGGTCCGACTGTACAACGCCGACAGGCCCACGACAGCGGATCCGCACGTTCCTGGGCGGGGTGGGCCATCGGGCCCCTCTTGGCGATGAAAGGGCGATTGGGGGTCTATGCGTCATCCCCTGATCTTATGTTGCTCCCATCGCGCTTAAAGACCACATCCCAGAAATAATTTCGAGCACCCAGAAAAGTGTCGAAACAATGTCGAGCGAGTATCACCTCCCAGGGCTCGACACGACAAAACCTTCAAGTTTCGGTACTGTCTTGGTGCTCGAATTTTTTTCTGGTGATCAAGGCTAAAGTAGGTTTAAGTCGGGCCTGTCCCCCTACAGGGGGATTTTGGACGAAAAATGAAACATACTCAAACAATATCCCCAAAATGCTCAAAAATAGTCAAACATAGTCCCCAGACTATTTTTTATAACTATTTTTGAACTTCCCCCCTGTAGAGGAACAGGCCCGACTTACAAGTAGGTTGGAACATCATAACCCTGAGCCTGTTCCCCCCCAAAAAACGTTGCCACTGATGTTGTTGCTTGTCGGGCCATGGCTTGGGCAACAAGCGCCCGCTCGAGACGATCTGGGCAGCTCCGGAACGCTTTCGGCGAGGCGCAGCCGCTGGAACGTATCCCGAGGCTGGACAACCGCCGAGATCCGACGAACACCTCGAAGGGGGCGGCGCACACAAGGGGGTAGAATGAGGAGGAGGAGGAGGAGGAGGATCAGGAGGAGGAGGAGGAGGAGGAATCAGAAGCCGAACCGCGAAGCGAAAAGAACTCCGCGCCCTCCAGGGGGCGCCCCTGCTCATTGCCCCCCCCTCTCGAGGGCACCCCCGAGGGCGCCCCTCTCTGCCCCCCCCCCCGAGGGCCCAGCAGCAGCGCCAGCAGCAGCCCCGCCGGGGCCCGGAGGGCCGCGCCGCCGCTCCTGCCCGAGCACTCCGGCGCGTCGGGGTCGGCCTCGTCCACGTAGCCCGCCTGGGGCCACGGGGGGCGGCCGCGCGGCCCGGGCCACCGCTCGGACGTCTATTTCCTGGGTTTTTTTCGGTCTCGTGCGTGTTTTTTTTTTTTCGCCAAATGATCAAGGAGGCTCCTCGATGGCCCTCGCCGAAGGCTAAATGACATGCACACGTCCGAGCGATGCCAAGGGCCGAGGGGGGCCGCCGCACAGCGGGCGGGCAGGCGGGCGGGCAGGGGGGCGGCGATGGCCGCCGCAGGGCCGCACCGTGGAGGCCCGTCCACAAAAGAAGCCCTGCCACAGGGAAGTCCGACCCGGAGGCCCCGGGACGTCCATCGGTGTCTGGCGCGTGGGAACGCCACGCGTTCCCTGGCAAAACCATCGACGGCCGCCGCAGGGCCGCACCGTGGAGGCCCGTCCACGAGAAGCCTGCCACGGGAGACCCGACCCGAAGGCCCCGGGACGTCCATCGGTGTCTGGCGTGTGGGAACGTCGCGCGTTCCCTGGCAGAACCATCGACGCCGAAGAAACCCAGGCCGCCCTGGAGGCAAGCAGGGTGCTTCTTGGCATGGGCCCCCCCCCACTGCAGGTCAGGGCCACGAAGAGCAGGAAACCGAGCACGACGCCGAGGATGGATGAGCAGGAGGCGGAGGAGGCGGAGGAGAGCGGAATGGAGCCCCCAAGAGTACCTTTGATCCTTTGGGGGAGAACCTAAATTAGGAAGGCCAGGAACACCAGGTAGGGATAGGGGATCTTTTGTGCAGATGTATCGAACCAAGCCGCCCAGATTCGTTATCCCTGGTGCAAAGATGGAGACCCAAGTGAGGCCACGTCTTCACTGTGTTATGAGGGTTAGGGCCCCCAAGCAACACGTACTGTTGGAGCTCAGCGCGGTTTGCAGAGACCCCGGCGCCGCCCCTGGCGCGCGGAGCGCGCCAGGGAGGGAGGTCCAGCGCCGATCCAAGAGATCAGGGAGGACTGCTGACAATGTATGCTTATGTCACCGCTTGTTCCCGGAGAGGGCTCCGCAGTCCAGAGGGGCAACGCCAGGGGGGGCGTTTTGGGATCGATGTTTGAGGTGATTATCCGACGTCTTTGTCGGTTCTCGGCGGTTTCCCAGCCTCGGGATGCCTTCCAATAGTGGCGCCTCGCCGAATGCGCTCCGTGGGTGCCAGGATCGTCCCGATTGGCCGTCGGAGAGCCTGGCTGTGACCCGAAAACCAAGGAGCAACGGGGGGGACCGGCTACGGGGGGGAATATCGAGTTGGAATCGTCGATGCCTCATGGGCGGGGTGCGCTATCAGGACCCTATCGGCGATGAATGAGCGATCGAGGTCGATGAATCCCCCCCTGAGCCTACCACCCCCCCCCAACGTTGCCCCTGAGAAGCGGCCGCGGCCGAGAGGGTCCTGCAGTCCTCTTCGCATGAGGCATCCTCGCAACTCTGGGATCGGAGATGCTCTGACTCAGAGACGGGAATGATACCGATACCGCTGCTCGTCCTGGGGACCCGTCGTCGCCACGGCTGGATTCTCCTCAAAATTCTGGTCAGAACTTACTCCGGGACAGGTCCAGGGTTAGGTCGGGCATGTCTTCCTACAGGCGGATTTGGAACGAAAAGTTACAAAAATCAACGAGCCCTCAAACATAGCAAAAATAGTCAAAACATCGTCCCCAGGCTGTGTTTTGCTTATTTTCAAGAATTCCTCCTGTAGAGGGACATGCCCGACTGAAGTCCAGGGAGTGGCGGCACCGATCTCTTTGTGTTTTCCCCCACTGTGCCTTCACGGACGCGGCCGAGGGCCGATGGAGGCCTTTGCAGTCCTCGACAATACTCGAGGAGGAGGAGGAGGAGGAAGAGGAGGAGGAGATGGAGGAGGAGGAAGAGGAGATGGAGATGGAGGAGGAGATGGAGGAGGAGGAGGAGATGGAGGAGGAGGAGGAGGAGGAGGAGAAGGAGGAGGAGGAGGAGGAGGAGAAGGAGGAGAAGCAGGAGGAGACTGGTGAAGGCCCCCCCCCTTCCACTCCCACATCTCATGTTTGCAGCCGGCGATTCTTCCTCGATCTCAGCTTCTGGGCCCGCTACCTGGCCCCGGGCCACCAAAAATCGACCTGGGGCGGAAAATCACCACCAGCGAGGGGGCTGGGAGCTCTGGGGTCGCGTGTACACGGAGACATCCTCGAAACTCTGGGCTCAGAGATGCTCTGACCAAAGGTGGGCTGGCCCGCTGCGCCCGACAAGTTCTGCCGGAACTCCGCGCGGGGCGGTCTGGGCCGCTTCGCTCGAGACATCCTCGGAACATCCGCGCTTTGAGATGCGCTGGTCCATTGGCCAGCGCATCTCGGAGCGCGGAGTTGCGAGCATTACTGCTCGCATTAAAAACTGATGGAGCCCCCCTCTCCATTTGGGGGTCGTCGTGGTCAGACCGATGGCTTTTCGAAGTTTCAGGGAATGTTTTGGGCTGCGAGGGCGGGCTGGCGGGGTTATCGTTTTCAACGTCTTTGCTTTTCCCCGCCCGGGCAAGTTGGGTACGTGGCGGCAGTGTGTGCGTGTTTGCATGTGTGCCCAGATTTGCTAGAACCCAAAAACATCTATCAATAACGACCGCATGCACGCATGCACACGCACACGCACATGCACACGCACGCACACGCACACGCACACGCACACGCACACGCAAACACGCAAACACGCACACACGCACACACGCACACACGCACACACGCACACACAAACACACACACACACACACGCACAATACGGAGATAACATCCGTACCATATCCCTGGCAATTGTGGGTAAGAGCGGGGGGAAAGGGCCGTCGGGAGTATTTGAAGAAGCCCGCCGCAAGCGCATACTTTTTTCACACATCCCACGACGAGCCCGCCACAGGCGCTGATTCTTGTTACGCATTACGTTGCACAGCGGGCCCGCCGCAGGTGCCGATTTTTTCGCCAAAGCGGGTGGGTCGCCGATGGGTCGCTGGTGGGTCGCAGGTGGGTGGCAAGGGGGTCGCAGGTGGGTCGCGGGCGATGACGACGAGAGCACAGCCACAAGAACAATAATCCTCGCTGGCACGTGCCAAGTCATGGTGTAAGACCGTTCGCCCCTCACTCTTTACAGCATGTGTGCCAGCGTGGGCCCAAAGCAATGCGTTATTGCACAGTGGAGTTGCCAGCTATGTAGTGCAAGATTTGTGGTGTGAGCTATGTGGCGCCAGTTGGATGGTACGAGTTGTGTGGTGCAATATCCATGGTGTACACGATGCTGTAAACTGCAGGCAGTATGCAAACTGTGCGGTGCCAACTACGTGGTGTAAATAATGCTTGATATAGACTATACGGTGCAAGCTATGTGCTGTAAGCTACGTGGTCACATGCACGCGGTGCAATCCATGTGGTGTACGTTCCCCTGGCCATGAACAACACACCGAATCGTGCAATCGGATAGGTTCGTAACAAGCATCGAATCCGGCTGCATCGGCTCGGAATCGGCATCGAATCGAGTCGGCACGCCATGCAAGCATCGGGCTGCATCGGTTCGTCGGAAAATCGAAATCGAATCGGGTCGAACCCACTGGACCGAATCTAACTCAAATCGGACCGATCGGATCGAATCGGAATCAAATCGAACTCGAATCGGAATCGAATCTCGAATCGAACTCGAATTCAGGGCAGAAAATCCACCCCGATAATCACCACCCCGACACGCGAAGCCATTTACGAAACGCACCCACAGAAGGAATCAAGCAAGGCAGGGCTGTTTAGGAAACGCCCAGGGCCGTTCAGTAAACGCCAATTGTTGGGTGCGGGTGGTTTTTTCTGGGGGAACAAAAGTGACATAAACATAAAAACTCGGAGGTCCGCGCGGATTTCTCGGATCGGCGCTGGACCCCCCTCCCTGGCGCGCGGAGCGCGCCAGGGGCGGCGCCGGAGGCGCCGCCGGGGGGCCCCAGCGCCGATCCGAGAAATCCGCGCGGACCTCCGAGTTTTTATGTTATTGTACTTTTTGTTCCCCTAGTTCAGCAAACGCCAATTGTCGGGTGCGGGTGGTTTTCCCTCCCTACATCGAACCAGACCGATCGAAGCAACAATGGGCCCTGCCCAGGGGGCCCCCTCAAGCGACGCCGAGCGGACGCGCCCGTGGGCCTGCGAGCCGTTCGCGGAGCCCAGACCGCGGTCCATGCACCGAGAGAGGGAGGAGGCCGGAGATGGGGAGGGGAGAAGAGAGGACGAGAGGCGAACTCGCCATCGCTCGGACGTCCATTCTCTGTGCTTCTTTCGGTTTCGTGCGTGTTTTTGTTCGCCAAATTTTCAAGGATGCTCCTCGATGGCCCTCGCCGAAAGAAAGATGCACACGTCCGAGCGATGCCAAGAGAAGAGGGGGAGAGGAGGAGGAGGAGAGAGGAAAGCTGCGAGGGAGGAGAGAACCGTGGGGGGTGCTGGGGGGGAGGGACGAGGATCTGGGTTGTCCTGGGAGTCGTCGGGGAACTTGGGGCGGGCTTCTGGTGGGCTCCAGGGGGCCCTATTGGGCTGGAGTAGAAGCAGTAGTAGGAAGAGGGGAGAAAGAGAAGAGAGATACTCATCAGTTGGAAGAAGTAGGTAGAAACATGAAGTGGGAAGGCATTGAACATAGATTGGGTGCCCCCCCCCCAAAAGAGGACGGAACAGGTGAAGCCACTCGATCATTGAAGTAGGAAGGCAACGTATATTAGAATCAGTGAATCTCAAAAAACCTACTTTCGACGATCGATGGGTAGGAGCAGTAGTAGGAAGGGGGGAGACAGAGAAGAGAGACCAAAAAGGAGGGAGGGTGGAATTAGAGCAGGAGGACCACGAGCACGAGGAGGAGGGGCAACGCACCGTGCGCTGTCGTCGCAGCACTCCACGGCGCAGGCCTCCAGGTAGCCCTCGCAGAGCCCCGCGCAGGGCCTGTGGTACCTCGTGCCTGAGCCGACCTTCGAAGAGGAAACAACGCCATAATGAGCATGAGCTTTTGACGGTCTGCGCGGAGCGCCAGTAGTTTATGCTTACGCAGTTTTTCTCCTTCGAGACCTGACACCCCGCCTGCGACTTCGGGAAGTAGGTGAGGCAAGACAGCCGCCAGACGCTGCGCATGCACTCGTCATCGCCGCTGGCAGGCGACGAATGCTCCCAGGCCTCGTAGCCCATGCCGGTCACGTGGTAGAAGAACATCGTGGCCGCAGCGTCATCCTGCGCAGTGACCTCGAATTGAAAGTCGGCATGAACAGAAACTGACTTTCGGAGGTCCGCGCGGGTTGCCAGTATCGGCGCTACCTGTTCTACTCTCTGGTGCGCAGAGCGCGCCAGGGGGCTCCACCGTCGATCCGAGAACTCGCGCGGACTTCCGAACAGACACTTGCTTTTGTCGAGAGGATTCCTGCCCGATGACCGCCCGGTCCAGGCTGAGGCTGCTGCCCTGGGGGGAGGGCAGCGCTGGGTTGTACCGGATGGCGCCCTTGCAGAAGCCCAGGTACTTCTCCACCGCGTACCGGTCAGCACACTGCCACTCCAGCTGCGCCAGCAGCGGCAGATCGTGGGGAGCCGGTACTGCAGACCCACGAGGCGGAGGGGACGAACGACGGGGGGAACTCTGGAGGGCCTCCGACGTCTGCTGTCCCTCGGCTCGCCCTGGAGCTTCCACGATTTCTCCAGAGCTGCCAGGAGATCATTATGTAGATGTACCCTTGCACGTCTCGATTTCCCTGGGTTCACCTGCATCCACATCGATTTGTCTGGCCCCACCCCCACGAGACGATCGGCCCAGCGTCGTCAAGCCCCTGGGCGGGGAAATGGAAGCGGGGCGCCCAGAAGAGTCAAGCACGGGCCCCGAAGACAGTGGGCCGCCCGCAGCTGCTGCGATCGGGCGTCTAGCCGAGAGCGCCCTGGAGCGACGAGGAGCCGAGGGGCCGAACGAGGGAGGGGGGGCAGGAGGACCCCTTGGGGGAAGAGGAAGGGGGGAATTGGTTTGGACTTGGGGGAAAGGAAGGGGAGGGGAGGAGGGGGCGGAGGAGGGGAAAGCAGGAGACAGGGGGGCAAGGAAGGGGGAAGAGGCAGGGGAGAGGGGAACAGGAGGAGGAGGAGGGAACGGGAAGGGGGACGGGGACATCGCGACAAGAGAAAAATCGGCGTGGCTCAAGAGAGCCTGTGTCGACAATGAACCACAAACGTGCGGGACACTCTTGCGACACAGTGCCTAGCGCCTCTTCCGCCTCTCCTCCCCCTCCTCCTCCCCCTCCTCCCCCTCCTCCTCCCCCTCCTCCTGCTGCTCATCCTCCTCGTCCTCCTCCTCTCCTGGAACTCTTCCGACACCGTGCCTGGCGCGACCTCTCGCAGCCAGACACCTGGGGAACTGACACCTGGGCAGGAGAAAGCACTGGCACCCACAGCCAGTCTCCCGTCCCCCGGGGGCGAGGTGGACGGACGGACCTCCCAAGAACGCTCGGGCCGGATCGTTGCTCCCCCATTCCCCCTCTTCCCTCCTCCCCCTCCCCCTCGTGCTTTCCTCCTCCTCCTCCTCCTCCTCCTCCTCCTCCTCCCCCTCTGCATGTTCCTTTCCCCTCCCCCCTCCTCATCCCTCGTCCGTCATCCTTCGTCCTCCTCCTTCCTCCCCGTGCTCCTTCCCCCTCCCCATCCCTCCTTCTTCCTCATCTCCTCATCCCTCCTTATCATTCCTCCTCCTTCCTGCCAGGGTGGTGTCGCAAGTGCACGTTACTTGCTCCCCAGATCGTTCAGGCCAGGGAAGAGAGGATTGATGCAGTTGTTCTCCCTGCTCAGAGGTCGCAAGAAATGATCACTGGCTGAAGGGTGCCAGCCTCAACTTCTCGTGCCATTCAGGAAGCACGATGGTCCTGCGGGCGTCGCGAGGGGTGCTCTGGTTTAGGAGGCAACTCCTGGGAGTTCTTCCTGGGAGCGATCAGTGGCTACTGAGCCCGATGAGGGGGCCACTATGCCAGATTAGCCCAGAATAGAACCAATATTGAGCCGGATTGAATGGGATTTTAAATAACTAGCCCGGAGTTCGACCACAGATGTGCCTGCGATGATGCCAAAGACACCCTCCCAGGATTTGCATCCTAACTCTAGGGGCCTCATGGGCAAGCCTGGAAAAGCTGGCGCCACATCTGGCCAAGATCACCTCTTGGAGCACCCGACCTGCAGGCTATGTTCTGCGAGTACGAGGCTGGCAACAGCGACTCCGCGGGCCCGCAGGCAATCCAGAGCAGCAGCGGGCGCGAGAGGCGCCGGGCAGCCATCGGCTAAAGCTCAAGCGGCGGCCAGGTGCCGAAGAACTCCTGTGACGAAAGGGGTGCCAATGGCAGCACTGATGATGATGGCGGTGGCAGACAATGATATACACTCGCTTGGTCACAGGCGCCATCTCAGCAGCAGCATCCGGGCGCGTAGCTGGTCCATCTACGTTTGGGAAAACGTGCCCAAACACTGTGTTCACTGGGGTTCCCAATTGCACGGCCTGGCTATCTCCCACAAGCGACCAATGGAAAGGGAAAAGCGCACACTCTTCGAAAGAAGACGGATGAATCGACGCACCTGGTCCTGCACAGGGTCACGCTTGCAGTACTCCCGTCCACCCTCTGCCTGCACCAGACCACAAAACCACTTGCGCGCATCGCGTCCGAACCTGTGCTTGCCTGGAGTATTCGGCGCCCAAGGGCAGCAAAACGATCATCACGGGACCTGGGTTCCACAAACTTCGCGCCCTCGCGCCGACCCCCTCGAGAAGACACCGCCCGTGCTCTGTGACCGCGAGTTGCGTCTTACCTTCCCGCCCCGACCTCGTGCACACTCCCGCGCCCACGCTTGTGCCCACAGCGCAAGACAACACCCTCGCACGTTCCGACCTCATTTCATTGCTACCTATACGACAAGATCCACAAATCAGTACTTTGGGGAAAAAACACCAAACCGATTTCCAAAAATCTCAAGTGGAACGTGCCGGCCTGCGTTGGGCGATATGCGAATTCGACTCCGACACCACCACCCACCCGAATCACGCTCCTCACGTTGACACCAGTTTCGCGCCGTGTGCAACGCGGGCGGACTACGCACTGTTCTTGGTGAGTCGCTACTTTGTTGCGTGAGGGAACTTTTTTGCGTGGGGGGGATGACGCGCGCGCATGCCCAGCGCGCGCACGCGCGCTTCGCGCTTTACCCGCAGCGCGCCCGATGGCACCGGCGCGCGCGCGCATCTCCAGCGCCCGCCGATCCCGCAGGAAAAAAAAAAAACAAATTAAAAAAAAAAGAAAAAAAAAGAAAAAAAAAGGCACAAAAAAAAAAAAGTAAAAACAAAATAACGAAGATCGAAAAAAAAAAAAAAAAACAAAAAAAAACACGAAAAAAAAAAAAAAAACAAAAAAAAAAAAAAAAAAAAAAGCGATAAGCGAAAAAACAAAAAAAATAAGAAAAAAAAAAAACGAAAAACAAAAAAAAAAAAAGAAAAAGAAAAAAAAAAAAAAAAAAAAAAAAAAAAAAAAAAAAAAAAAAAAAAAAAAAAAAAAAAATAAAAAATAAAAAAAAAACAAGAAAAAAAAAAAAAAAAAGCACGAGCACGCGAAAACATCAGTGCGAGCCACGAACGTGCGAAAAAAAGAAATAAAAAAAGACCGAAAAAAAAGAAAAAAATAGAAAGAAAAAAAAAAGAAAGAAAAAAAAAAAAAAAAAAAACAAAAAAAATAAAAAAAAGAAAAAAAAATAAAAAAAAAAAAAAAAAAAACAAAATAAAAAAAACAAAAAAAAAAATAACAAAAAAAATAAACCCTCCCCCCCACACCACCCCCCACTCACCCCCCCCCCCACACCCCCCCCACCCCGACCCCTTCCCCTCCCCCCTCACCCCCCCCCACCCACCCTCCCCCCCCCGCCGCCCCCCACCCTGCCTCCACCTCCGCTAGCTTCGACCCCACGCATTGCGCGCGCCAACCTAGAGCCACTGACCCGCTCGGCCGCCACTCGCTCGACCCCCCCGCGAGGGCTATTCCCTCCTGTATGTACCCCCTACCCTTTGTGCCTTGCGACCGCGTGCTGCGTTTCCGTCAATTTCTTATAGGCACGAGTGCAAAAAATCATTTGAGTCCGACTCCACACTCGGCTTAATGTCAGCGCACAAGACTCCGCGCCGCCGGCGGATTTTGTCGTCTGCTTCCTTTCTGCTATGTCGAGGGCAAACGTTTCTCCCATATCGTAACTAGGGTTTTTGTCTTCTCGGAACGCCCCGCGAGCAGGATCTTGTTCTCCTCCCCCTCCTCCTCATCGTCATCAGCACCACTATCATCATTATCATCATCGCCATTTTCATCTTAACTACAATCAAGCCCACCCACACACATCAACATCACCACCATCTTCATCCCCATCATCATCACCATTCACGCATTTATTCGTTCAAACACATTCGCGTCATAATAATGAATTATGAACGTCGTCGTCAAAAACATGGCCACCACTATTATCATCACCGCCGTTTTCATAATCACATCACTGTGTTCTCACACTCACCGGTACCAGGCGTCATCATCACCACACCTCATCACCAACCATCATCATACATTCAGCACACCATAATGCAGCAACTTGGCATTGCGGAAGTGACAGGGAAGTGAAGTATATCCCAGGTAGGGCGCCATGCGGAACACCAATTTCCATCATCATCCCAGTCAGTCACTCATCACAAAGTCACGATCCCATCAGGAACACCGGTCATCATAATGAACGTCATCATCATCCCCATCGTTCACAACCGCGTCGGGCGCGTCCCCATCGTATCGCACCTCGGAGCTTCTTTGCAGCTGGAGCCCGCCGGCAGCATCGGCCCCCTGACGGACGTGAGCGGACTCCTGGAGCACGGGTCGCGCAAAATCGCGGGGCCGCCAACGGTGGAGACTCAGCACGCCATCGCGGTCTTCTCTCAGATCCCATGCGTCTTCGATATCATGGGCGCGAGGCGCTGCCAGCACGGGGACCCTCTGATCACGCTCTTGGGCTGCACGCGCGAAGACAAGCCTTTCCCACCAGAAGTCTGGCCCGACTTGGAGAAGATGCTGGCCTCGGACTGTCACGGCGCCCGGGACCCTCGGCACCAGCACGAGAAATTGCGGCTAGGCTACAGCGTGGGCGTATTATGGGAGACGCTGGAAAAATAGATCATTACGCGCGTTCGTCGCAAAGCGCGGCGCCTAGGCGTGCCCCTCGTTTTCCTGCAGGCCGTAAGCGAATGCGACGCGATTCGAAGCGACGCGGACGCGGGCCGTTGCCTCATGAACGTCCCGAATACGCGTAAAACAGGAGATATCCGCGGCGTTTTACCGGCAAGCGTCGGCATGGAGGTCCGGTTCTGGACCGTGCAGGAGGAGCTGAAAAAAACTGGGGCTCGCGCGACAGCAACAGACCACCGTCGTGTCCTCCGAATTTCACAGAGAAAACGAACGGGACTGCGAGGAGTGCGCGCCGGACAGCTTCTTCACCCCCGCCACCTGCCGCAGGGAACCTCGCTGCACGTTCGCGGCTTCAACGCATCCCCGATCTACAAGGTCGCCGAAGCGCTGCTGCAGAGCACCGAAGGCGCTGACGACGACGGCGAAGCCGAGGCGAGGGCGAGGCACTCGCTCTTGTTCACGCCCAACGATCAGAAGCTCACGTGGCATACCAAGGGGCCGCACGTCGTGCGCCGTTCGGGGTGCACCCTGACGCGCGCGTCCTACCTGACCTCCACGCTGTCGCACGGTCAGACGCTGCGCAAGGGCGTCACAATACCCGCTGCACCGCGGACGAAAACGCTGGTTACACAAGTAGTATGTTGAACGAGCGCTGGTGGCTGCACATCTACGTCATGTCCCCCAGCACCACGCGAATACGGATCATGCGGCCGCCCACGCGCGAGTTCCTGGAGCGCGGGCCGCCGGCGTCCTTGCGGAAGGCGCTCTTTGAGTTCGGCAAGAGAGCGGTGGACTCCAGGGCTGAGACGGAACAGCTCGCGGCAGAGCTGGACTTCGTGCTGCGTCCCGCCTGAGCACGGCCGCGAGTAGCTCGGCGCCTGCGGGGTTGTCCCAACCGTTTGCTCCCGCGCCCAAGCGTCTCGGGGGGTTGTCCCGACGACGTGGCCCCCAGGGTTGCCCCGACGGCTTCGCGATTTTGCCATCGGAGAACGCGAACCCGGCCAGGCGTGGCGGCGAGGGCGCCGAGGAAAATCGGCATGCGCGCCCTTGCCAGGAGGAAGGGGAAGCGCATGAGGAGAACAGGCGGGATGGAGATGAAGGGGGGGAAAAGAAGAGGAAGAGGACGAGGAGGAGAAGGTGGAAGAAGCGGACGAGGAGGAAAAGGACGACAAGGAGCAAGATAAATGGAACGAGAAGGGCGAGCAGGAGGAGGTGACGGAAGACGAGGAAGCCAAGGAGGAGGACGAGGCGCAACAGACGGCGGGACGGGGGGCCTCGGCCAGGGCGAAGTGGAAAGAACGAAGGGCAGTGTAAATAGATATGATCCAGAGCTCCGGGCCCACGGGCTCCCACCCCCAGATGGGATGGGCCCCAAGGTTCCACGGGCGCCCCCCTGACGGGATGGGGGGGGAATGCGCCCTGATGGGATGGGGGGGACGACGACGACGACGACGATGACGACGACGACGGCGACGACGACGACGACGACGACGGCGACGACGACGGCGACGACGACGACGACGGCGACGACGACGACGACGACGACGACGACGACGACGACGACGGCGACGACGACGACGACAAAGGCGACGACGACGACGACGACGACGACGACGACGACGACGACGACGACGGCGATCTTCGGAGCCCTCCGACGGCGGCGACGGCGGCGGCGACGACGACCTCCGGAGCTCTCCTGAAGCACCTCAGTACCACGCCACACACGCCACAGCCGCAGCACCCCACAACACCCACAGGGGGGGGACCATCGCGGGGGGGGGGGGCTGCCGATGGCATCGGCATGAAGGGGGGGCCCAGACCCTAGGTGATATATTTTCCTGCGGGGTCCTACCGTCGGAGTGCTGAACGTGTTGTCGGCCTCATTCCCAACCATCCAATGGCAGCGCCCCGCGTCACTTCCTTCCTCCTCCTCTGCTCCTCCTCCCCCTCGTTCCTCCCATTCCCTGCCTCTGCTCGCCTCATGTCCAGCATTTCGGCGCACCCCTCACACGGTTCGTGGCCCAATAGGGAGCTCCACCAAAAACCCTGGTGGGCCAGGCCGCATGCGCCCGACGCCCATTGTGGCACACCCCTCACACGGTTCGTGGCCCCATAGGGAGCTCCACCGAAGGCCCCAATGGCACAGGCCGCATGCGCCCGACGCCCAATGTGGCATACCTCTCACACGGTTCGTGGCTCCATAGGGACTTCCGCCGACGGCACCAGTGGCACAGGCCGCATGCGCCCGACGCCCATTGTGGCACACCCCTCACACGGCTCGTGGCCCTACAGGAGGCTCTGAAAAGGCCCCAGTGGCACAGACCGCACGCGCCCGACGCCCATCTTAGCCCTCCCCTGACGCAGTTCGTGGCCCCATAGGAAACTCCATCGAAGGCCCCAACGGCACAGGCCGCATGTGGCCTCATAGGGAGCTTCACCGAACGCCCCAGTGGCCAAGGCCGCATGCGCCCAACCGAAGGCCCCAGTGGCACAGGCCGCATGCGCCCGACGCCCTCTCTGTGGCACACCCGACGCCCATTGTGGCACACCCCTCACACGGTTCCTGGCCCCATAGGGTGCTCCACCGAAGGCCCCAAAGGCACAGGCCGCATGCGCCCGACGTCAATTTTGGCACAGCTCCAAGAATGCCCCGGAAGCACAGGCCGCATGCGCCCGACGCTCATTGTGGCACACCCCTCGCACGGCCCCTGGCCCTATATCCACCGAAGGCCCCCGTGGGCCAGACCGCATGCGCACGACGCCCCCATTTTGGCACACGCTTCACACAGCTCTTAGCCCTATAGGGAGCTGCACCGAAAGCTCCAGCGGCACAAGCCGCATGCGCCCGACGCCCAGTGTGGCACACCCCTCACACGGTTCGTGGCCCCATAGGGAGCTCCACCGAAGGCCCCAGTGGCACAGGCCGCACGCGCCCGATGCAAATTTTGGCATACCCCTCACACGGTTCGTGGCCCAAAAGGGAGCTCCACCGAAAACCTGAGTGGTTCATGCCGCATGCGCCCGACGGCCATTTTAGGAAAGTGCGCCAGTGGATTTCCCTAAATACACAAAAGGAGGGGAAGGGGTTCCAGAACCCCCCCCCCCCCTTCCACGGAGCGGGGTGAACCCCCCCCCCCCCCTTGAAGGGGGGAGGGGGGGGTCCAGACCCCCCCCTCCCCTCCTTGGCGCTGGAAGGGGGGGGGCGTCGGACACCCCCCCCCTCCCCCCCTTTGCGCCGGGTGGGCCTCTCTCACTTTTTCTCTCTGCGCCGGAGAAGGTGTGTAGGGAGTACGGAGTTGGGAGTATGGAGTGGTGAGTAGTGAGTAATGGGTAGTGAGTTAGTGCGTAGTGAATAGTGAGTATTCGGTAGTGAGTAGTGGGTAGTGCGTGGCGAGTAGGGAGTAGGGAGTGGGGAGTAGTGAGTAGTGAATAATAAGTAGTGTGCACTGATAAGTGAGTAGTGAGTGGCGAGTAGTGAGTACTGAGTAGCGAGTAGTGAACACTGAGTAGAGTAGGGAGTAATGGGTAATGGGTAGTGAGTAGTGGGTGGCGAATAGTGATTAGTGAGTAGTGGGTGGTGCGTAGTGAGTAGAGAGTAGTGAATAATGAATAGCGGGCAGCGAGTAGTGAGTAGTGAGTAGTAAGTAGTACGTAGTGCGTAGTGAGTAGTCAATAGTGATGAATAGAGAGTGGTGGGTAGTGAGTAGTGAGTAGCGAGCAGGGGGTAGCGAGTAGTGAGTAGTGAGGAACGCGTAGGGCGTAGTGAGTAGTGAGTAGAGAATAGAGAGTAGTCAGTAGTGAGTAGTGGGTAGTCATCAGTGAGTAACGAGTGGGGAGTAGCGAGTAGTGAGTAGTGAGTAGGGAGTAGTGAGCAGTGAGTAGTAAGAAGTGGGTAGCGAATGGTGGGTAGTGAATAGCAATTAGTGAGTAGTGGGTAGTGACTAGTGACTAGTGACTTGTGACTCAGTGACTAGAGACTATGTAGTGACTAGGGAGTAGGGAGTAGTGAGTAGCAGAGAATGAGAAGTGAGTAACGAGTAGCGCGTATGGGAGTAGCGAGTAGTGAGTACTGAGTACTGTGTAGTCGTATCGTGTAGGGAGTAGGGAGTAGCGAGTAGTGGGTAGTGACTAGTGATTTGTAGGCAATGAGTAGTGAGTAGTGAGTAATGGATAATGGGTAATGAGTAGTGATTCGTGAGTAGTGAGAAGGGAGAGAAGTGCTTAGTGAGTACTGAATAGTGGGTAGCGAGGAGTGAGTAGTGAGTAGTGAGGAGGGAGTAGTGAGTAGGGAATAGTGAGTAGCGAGTATTGGGTGGTGGGTAGTGAGTAGTGGATAGTGAGTAGTGAGTAGGGGGTTGTGAAAAGTGAGTAGCGAATGGCGAGTAGTCAGTAGTGGGTACTCTTTGGGGCTGGGGTTAGTGGTTGGGGTTAGGGTTAGGGGTTTGGGTTCGGGTGAGGACTAGGGGTAGGGGTGGTGGGGGTCGGGTTCCGGTGTCAGGGGGGCGGCGTGGCGAAAGGGGAGGAGAGGCGGGGGGCTGCGGCCAAAGGGGGTGACGGGGTGAGGGGGGGGTTCGGACCCCCTCCCCCCTTTTGAAAGGGGGGGAAGGGGGGGGAGGGTTGCCGACGACGGACCAGGAAAGGGAGGAGGGGGGGGGATCTCCGACGACGGATCGGGGAAAGGGGGGAAGGGGAGGGGGGGGTTGCCCGACGACGGATCGAGGAAAGGGGGGGGGAAAGGGTCCCCCCCCCCCCCCCTGGGGAGATCCAGCGGCGCGCCCTCCAATTTTAGACCCCCCCTGACACGGTTCGCGGCCTCATAGGGAGCTCCACCGAAAGCGGTACTCACAACGCGGTACTCACAATTGCGGCTGGTTGGGTCTTTCGCCAGGATAACTTTTTGTCGTCGGCCTTCATGTTTTTGTCGTCGAGATCTTTTGCTTTCGTCGTCCGTTCTGTTTGGTGCCCTTCGTGGTATGGTTCCGAATCTTACTCGGGCTCTCCAACATGTTTGGGGCCCTTCTCGGCCAGATCCATCTTCCCATATTTCACGCTCCCCGCGTCCCCCTCACCCCGTCCAGCAACGATGCTCAGGCGTTGCCCATGGAAGTTCAGTCCCTGGGTTGTGGATCAGCAGAAGCTTCTTGGATACCTACATGGGTCTCTGGAGAGAGAAGGGAGGAGGAGAGAAGGCTACTGGATGAGGGAGAGATTACAACAGAGGAACATTCGACAAAGGCCGGCGACACTGTCGAGGACGAGGGAAACGGGAGGGGAAGAATGAGAATATGAGAAGGGAGAAGGAGAACGCTCAAGAAGAGGAAAGGGAGAAGGAGCAGCGCTGAGCGCGGAAGGGATGAGGAGGCGCATTGTGGAACACGCTCGCGCCAGCCGAGTAAATGGAGGGAGGGGGCAACTTAAAAAAAGCATGAATTTCAGAAACTCTCTTTTTTTCAGGGTGGGTGCCTTCTTAGATGATAACTGTGTGGGTTTCTTTTTAGAAGTAGTTTTGAAGCCTCTTGGGGCCTCTTGGGGGCCTCTGTGGGCTCTGTTTTGAATCTCCTGGGAGCCTCTTGACGCCTTTTGGGGGCCTCTTATGGGTATTTTGGGGTCCTGCTTGCGGCCTCGGGGGTCATCTTGGGGCGGAAGACTCGAAATTTCAGCTCGGGTTCCTCCTCTTAGGCCCCTTTTGGTGCCCTTCTTGGACTGTCATTGGGGCTTATTCGGCCGTCTTGGGGCCCTCTTGAGCCGTCTGGACCTTTGAAGCCGTCTTCACACTCTCTTGGGGGTCTCTGGGAAGCTTCTTGGGTTCTCTGAGGCCGTCGGAAGCTATCGAAGGCGACAACGGTTAAAGCCTTCCCACACCCACATGACATCAATGTGCTTGGCCTCCTTAGAGCCTCTTGGGTATGCGCTGGGAGCTCTCTTGAAGCGTCTTGAGGTCATTCTCTTATGTTGCTACCCACATCCAAAGTGGGGGTCTCGTTCTCTCTGGCCCCCCCGCGCGCAGGATCTCCTCCCCATCTCTACTCCTTCTCCTCCATTCCTTCTCCTTGTAGATGACTCCTCCCTGTCGCATCCCGATGCCAGTTTTTAGGGCGGGCCGGGCGTTTCGCCTGAGACTTCCTCACCACGTCCGACTCTGAAGCTTACAAAGTGGCAACAGTCTCAACGATTGAGGCTTTAAAAATGACAACAGTTTCACAGATGGAGGGCGGGTGGTTTTGAACATGTGGCTCTCGCCTCAGCGCCGCGCACATTCGTTTGGGAAAGTTGCAAGAGTTTCACGGATTGAGGGCGGGTCGTTTTCAAAATGTGGCTCTCGCATTAATGCCGCGAACTTAGATTGAACTATTTGCAAGAGCTTCACGGATTTAGGGCGGTTCCTTTTCAAAATGTGGCTCTCGCCTGAGCGCCACGCACATTCGTCTAAACAAACTGCAAGAGTTTCACGGATGGAGGGCGGGTGGTTTTCAAAATGTGGCTCTCGCCTGAGCACCGCGCACATTCGTTTAAAAAATTGCAACAGCTTCACGGATTGAGGGCGGTTCCTTTTCAAAATGTGGCATTCGCCTGAGCGCCGCGCACATTCGTTGGAAAAACTTGCAAGAGTTCAACGACGGAATCCCATGATCAACGTACCAGAAATTGTGGAAGGATTCAGGATTATGCGGGTGCAACAATTATGTTGATTCGCGGTGCTGAAGTCACAAAAATGGCGCTCTGGCACGATTCCGGATCGTCCAGACGCAGCAGTCAGGCTGATACATGACGTTGAAATCCCGAGAACAATGGTTTCGCATGCTTCAGGCTCTTCGAACGGTTGTCTTCCAACGAGGCCATTCCCTCAATGGAAATGAACCGTTGTGGGGGCTCATGAAGAGGAGCATCATCATC